CCGTGCGCTGGCTTCGTGGAGCCCCTGGGTGCGCTGGGCGTGGGCGCTATCGGAGCCCTTGCATGCGTCTTTGCCGCTCGCGGCCTGAAGAAGCTGAACCTTGTGGACGACTCCCTGGACTGCTTCAGCCTCCATGGAGTCGGTGGCTTTGCCGGTGCCATCCTTGGCGGTTTCTTTGACACCTCTGATGGGATCATTTACGGCGGAGGCGCCCTGCTGCTGGGCAAGAACGTGGCTGGCGCGGCCTTCGGTGTGGTCTACTCAGCGGGCGTCACGGCGGTGATCTTCTTCATCATGCGCCTCGCCATGCGCATGAGGGTCAGCGAGGAGCAGGAGCTGGAAGGCGCACCCGGCTTGCTCGTACGGTTCGCCGAAAACCCCTGAAAGCCTAAGCCCTAGGCTCCCCAAACCCTGAACTCCAGAACCCAACCGTCTTGAAAAGCTTGCGGCCCTAAACCCCAAACCCTCAACCGTGTGGCAGGAGTCGACCTCCACTGTCACTCCGAGGCCTTAGTGAATGTGAAAACTTGCAACCTTGTTTTCGGAATTTCGCGGGCTTTCGGTTTAGGGTTTTAGTGTTGGTTTGAGGTTTGTGTAGTCGGTCTAGCCTTAGGGCCCATTTCGCTGGTATTTCCCGCAGAAGGAATTCAGACATAGCAGTTTCCATGAATATGGAGACTCTAACATAGACCTCGGTATACTATAATCAGTACTCGACCCCCCCAATCAGGATTTCTAATTTTGGGAAACCCGAAACCCTAATCCCTAAATCCTGAACACTATATAACCCCTATATATCCCCTGTGTATCCACTACATCCGCCTTTAAAGGTACCACTAGTTTTGGGAAACCCCTTATGCCGCAGTTCAAAGTTTTTCAGGTTGGTATGTCCAGGCTGACAAGTCTTGGCTTTGTGGCCAAAGACTTACTGGGGCCTTAGTAGGGAAGTAAGGAAATGTAGAATATAGGAGTTATATAGGGATCATATATCGGGAATATGGGGATTCTATGGGGTTGTACAGGGCTTATATAGGGATTTCCTTTCATGATTCGCCACTAAGAACCAGTAAGAAGACAAGCTTGAAGGGTGGGAGCAACTCCAAACCTCAAAGCCAAGGTGCTTTGCTACCCCAAACCTGCCTGAGATTGCCTCACGGTTGGCTATGCCTTCCTGAAGGGACCTTTTGTAAAGCTCAAATCCTTTCAACTTTCAACTGACTGCATGCTTGGAGGTTCATGGGATTCCCTGATCTGGATACTTCTAGCCTACCTGTAGTCTCCTTGCCACTTACCTAGGACGGGAGGCCCTTAACTTTTGTGGTTCCCCTATCCTCCAGGCAGCTTCTACCCCGCATATCAGACGCTTGAAATGTCTCAGGTGGCCTACGGCAAGTCTGAGCACACCGGCAAGCGCAGCAATTCCGAGCACACCGGCAAGCGCAGCTACGAGGCGGCGGCCCCCACGCTGCTGACCAGTACCTGGAGCTGCAGATTCAGCTTAGTAGCTGAGTGGATAACCTAACCTTCAACTTTTCAGGTATATATAATCCTACTATGATCGAAAGCTTAATTTTTGGTGGCCAGGAACGGCAGATAGGTGGGCGTGTTGGGGGAAGCGTCGTGAACTAGACACACTGTCATAGGTGTTCCATTGTGTCTTGTGCCAGGTTTTGCGGTTGTTTGTACGGCTTGGGGTTGGAAACTTAGTGTATACCAGAGATTGTAAGGCGACTGAATGGTGTTGCATGAGTCCATGGATTGCCAAGACACTTCATATTCAATAGTCTCCCGTGTCTACCCTTCTCAGCATACAGAATCAAGTGCAACCCCCTCGAGCGCTACTTTTGTGTGTCAAGGAAGGCACCACTTGTCTTGCTCAAGGTAGCTGTCTACTACCAGCATGCACAAAAAAGCCGCACCTTTGGGAGAGTCCCGAACCCTAAACCCTGTACCAAATTCTATTGCGGAGCGGCAGGACATATTCCATCAACAGGAGCTTTTGATAACCTGAATGCCGACGTGGTGAGACCCGAGTCAAGGATTTTTGTGTTCTAAGGAGATTGAAATGGGAACCCCAAAGCCGGGAACCCCAAGAACATATACCCTAAACCCTAAACCAAGGCTAGGAACATATATGTATATATATATATATATGGTATGATATAAAGGAATGTACCTACCAGGATCCTCATCTCCCTATGATATTCCTATTATATTCTTGTAGGAGAGGTTTGGGGGCCCTATAACAATGAATACTTGTGGCTCTATGAGGGTTCCATAGCGAATAAGGGTAATAAACATTACAGAAACATAGGGATGAGGGCAATAACCATTACCAAACTATAGGGAATAACGGTAAATAAACATAACAAAATCGGTTCAAACCTACCCCTGTCTTGGGATTCCAGGTTTGGGGTTCCCATTACAGTTCTTTTATTCTAAGCACCAGGGACACTTGATACCATGGCATCTGTGACTATCAGTAGCTTCCGACATTGCAGTAGGATGAGGGCTTCGGGTTGAGGGATTTAGGGTCTTGGGTTTAGGGATTTAGGCTTTGGGCGTTAGGGATTTAGGGTTCAGGGATTACAGACTTCGGGTTTAGGGCTCAGGGTCACCTGCCATCACAAACCCAAGCCCCTAAACCCATCAACCGCTGCATCTCCAATCCCGCAACTCTAGCAAACACTCTGAACACCCCTAAACCCTAAACCCCAGCATCTCCGAATAGATGGTTCGGCTCCTAAATCCTAAGCCCTCAGACCCTCAAATCCTCAAACCCTTAAATCCCACAAAACTACAAACCCTGCAAGCTCTTGAAGCCCTCAACCTAACAACCAGGATTAAGAAAACGTATTTCCTAAACCCTAAGTCTCTAAATTCCTAAAACCTTAACCCTAAATCCTAAGCCCCAAATCCTAAACCTTAAACCTAAATCCTTAATCCTAAACCCTAAGCCATAAACCCTCAAGCCATCTCAGGCACGGCCCAGAGCTCTGCAGAGAAGCCTGCTGAGGTCACCGCTACCGTCTAAGGGACGAGAGCTTTTTCGCTTTAGGGTTTCGGGACTTGGGGTTTAGGAATTTAGCGCTTAAGGGTTTCGGGACTTGGGGTTTAGGAGTTTTTTCGCTTTAGGGTTTCGGGATTTGGGGTTTAGGAGTTTTTCGCTTTGGGGTTTCGGGACTTGGGGTTTAGGAGTTTGTCGCTTTAGGGTTTCGGGACTTGGGGTTTAGGAGTTTTTCGCTATAGGGTTTCGGGACTTGGGGGTTAAGAAATTTAGCGCTTTGGGGTTTCGGGATTTGGGGTCAGGGGTGTAGGGTTTAGGGTTTTCGGGTCGGGGTTTACGGATCAGGCGTTTTGGCTTGTGGGGGTCAGGGGTCTAGGCTAGGGTTGGAGGGTCAGGGTGCAGGGCTCAGGCTCGGGTGACGGCTCTTGGTAAATATCAAGCGGAGGTTTTCAGGCGTGGAGCGTTCAGGTTGAGGGGTTTGGGCTTAATAGGATTTCGGGCTGAGGGTTGAATGACTTTGGGTGGTTTAGAGGTTTAAAAGTTTCAGGCTACGAAAGAAATTTAGTTCGATCTTTGGGTGTTGGTGGGGGGGGAGAGAGAGTTGGGGGTTGAAGTGAAGGGGGACAGCTATTAATAATGATTTTTTTCGGAAACAAGGGAAGCGAGGTGGCTGGGCATGATCCAACTTAGTTTTTGTTGTTTGTCGATACGGAAAAGAAGCTGGGTGGGGTGGGGTTGGGCCATGAAGTCTGGGCCGGTCTTCGTTGGGTTTCAAGTGAGCCCGGGCATGTTCAAAGATAGGGTTGCATTAGGATGAGCTTCTTTGTATCTCTTCTTAGAGCATCTGGGCCTCAGAATTTGTGAGTCTTGAGGGATTGGGAAAGGCTGCGCGCAGCCGAAGGGGCTTGAGTGTAAAATTTAGAAATGATAAGGACTTGGGGCTCAGGGCTATGGGCCTAAGCATAAGTCCAATTTACAAGTAAAACAGCAGCATGACAGCATGTGCCATCATAGAACAGGGTCATCACAAAGCAACATCTCTCGGGCCTGCAGATGTTCGAAAGTTTCCGCTACAGCAGCGGAAGCAGCCAAGGAGGCTGTGATTTTGTCGTACAAGCCCGCGGTATGGAGTACTGCGGCACAGACGTCCTGTGACTCGTGTGCACTGCGCGCAGGAGCTCAGGAAGTCGTTCAAGGGCAGCTCTAGAGGCCTTGCTATACGATCCTCATTGAATCCCTTTATCATCCCCATATAGTGCTTCCAGTTTATAATTACTGTCCCTTTAAAATCCCTACAGGCCCTACTGTGAAATCCCTACACGCCCGACATCTCTTAGGGGGAGGGGTCCTCAGCCCAAAGATCTGAACTAGGAATTGAGGGCTTGTCCGGAGGCCTTCTTGAAAAAAGCGGGATACGTAGTAGCTAGGTAGGTACGCGTTACATTCGTAGGGTTCAGGATTTAGGGTTTAGAGCCGCTTACGCAAAAAGTCTAGACTTTCTTGGCCCAGGCAACTGGGCTGCGTATAGCATGGAATGCCATATTGCTGAGATTGACTAATCCCAAACCCCTAAACCGTGTGTAAACTGCTGTGGTCAGTAGTCCTGCGTCACCCTCCAGGTGTGGGATCGCAGCTGGTTTGAGGTTAGGTTGAGGGCTTAGCGTACAGGCCTTAGTCTTTAGGTTCTAGGGTGTATCATCATAAGCTCTAGGGATAGCAGTAAACCCTAAAACCTTAAACCCAAAACCCTAAAGGGACCCAGAGGTGTGGAAGTTCAACCTGAATTTGGACAGAGCAAGTGATAAGGCTTCCCTTCCAATAGTCTTCGGGGTGTGGCACATACTTGTACAACATGGGGTTATATTGGGGTTATATTGGGATAATGGCAAATGCAATGGAAACTACTGTTTAGGGTTTAGGGTAGATAGGAGTACAGGGTATATGAGGATCTTATGATAATATACTCCAAAGCCATATTCTGTCTACTTAAGGGGGGCTACAATCTTCAACTCCTATAGGAGTACTTTGCATATACCCCCGGTCAGGGTTGCTGGTGGGGGTTTGTTATTGGGTGGAACGGATCAGTGTGAGCTACATGATCATGTCGTTGGTTCTTCAAGTTTATCCCGTAGTGGAGTGACAGACTACATTCAGCAGTTGCATAGGCCTTTGGGGCTACCCATGTATTTGCATGATCGAAGCATCAGCCGGCATCCGCTGCATAGGACAGCATGGCCGTAGCTTCACATCATCCCAGGCAGAAGTCTCTGGGGTGGGTTTACTTTATGCCCTCTACCTTTCACCATCGGCGGGGGGCAGAAGCAGAGAGAAAGTGTGTGACGCGCAGAAAGGTCAGATGCGCATTGACGTTTTGGGGATTCGGAGATGCGTGCTGTGCGGACCATAATGTGTGTGTATGCTTGAGGTAGGGCCTTAGTGAGTTTTGTCCTGAGAGTATAAAGGGTCCCTTAAGAAAGTTGATGGGTGTATATGCCTGGTTTCCAATATGGGGAACAGGAAACAAAGTCGCACCATATGTGTCTTCCACTGCAGGTAGCTTGTTTCGAGTCTTCCTATGTATGCGAACAGGGATTCCCCCGTGAGTGCAGGCGCACAAAACTCGAGTTTTCTTGGTTTTGCAAATTCTGTTACAATTGCTATGAGTACTCTCGCTGTTGCTATGGAGCAGCCCCTAAACCCTCAGCCCCAAACCTTAAACCCTAAACCGACAAGGACGGTGTTTTTGAAGAGCTCCAACCACATCGACGGTGCCTACTTCGGCGAGTTGGCCAAGGCGAGAGATTTCGGTTTGAGGAGTTTTTGGGGGTTCGGCTTTTGGGGGTTCAGGGTCAAGGGTTAAGGGTTACGGGTTTACGGTTAAGGGTTTAGGGTTTGGGGGTTTCGAGTGCTGGAGGTTAGGAGTTGCAGGGGCTTTAGGGATTCCACCCCTCAGCATGTGCTTGGTCAGCCGTTATGGGTTCCCTGGGGTCAGGCCCTGAACCCCGAACTCTAAACGGGCAAAGTTCACCTTCAGGGGCTGTGTGATGCCCGGGGCTATAGTCGAGACTCCTCATACCCGCTTAAGAACCCCTACAATACTCCCCTACATAACCCCGTTTAAGGAGTTTAGATTATAGCTCATATCTTGAAGGCCTAGAAATTTGGGGGGCCATAATACGGCTTATCAGAAAATATTAGGAGTTTAGACAATGGCTCATCCCTAAACCCTAAACCTTAAATCCTAAACACAACATAAACACATCTACATACACATATACACGAATATTTCCTTATTCCTTACTAACTACCAGTAAGTTATCAAAGTCGGTTGAGAGTGGACTGGATTTACGCCCGCCTCGGTCGGCTTCTCGGCTTCGGACGAAAGGAGGCACTGCAAAAGAAACAAATCTTGGACCCTAAACCTTCAAACCCTAGAACCCCTAAACCCTAGACCACTAATTCAGCCCCAGGCCTTCATCCCTAAACCTCTAAACCCCTAAACGCCTAAACCCTAA